CCCCGGCCATCGGCCAGCCGGCGAGCAGGTGGGTAAACCGTCAGATGCTGCGAGACGAGTGACGTCAGACGGCGACACGCCACCCCGGGCCCCGGCCATCGGCCAGCCGGCGAGCAGGTGGGTAAACCGTCAGATGCTGCGAGACAGTGACGTCAGACGGCGACACGCCACCCCGGGCTCCGGCCATCGGCCAGCCGGCGAGCAGGTGGGTAAACCGTCAGATGCTGCGAGACAAGTGACGTCAGACGGCGACACGCCACCCCGGGCTCCGGCCATCGGCCAGCCGGCGAGCAGGTGGGTAAACCGTCAGAGGCTGCGAGACGAGTGACGTCAGACGGCGACACGCCACCCCGGGCTCCGGCCATCGGCCAGCCGGCGAGCAGGTGGGTAAACCGTCAGATGCTGCGAGACAAGTGACGTCAGACGTCTTGTGTGGCGTCAGTGGCGTCATTGTGGCCCCCGGGTATATGTACACCACTTTTAACCCTTTTTGGCAAACATTTATGTATGCGCGACTAAATGTCAACGCCCAAAAATACTCAGGATCAATATGTAAAACTAATCAGATTAAAAGCATGCTATGCTGTTTAATACCATGCAGCAAATTTCGCGCGTCTGTGGCAAGCTTAACTTGATTTCACTATGAAAGCTTAGAGTTATGCCTCTAGGGTTAAGCAAAATCCAAGGGACTGAAGTTGTAAAATTTGAAATTGTGGCGAGATATTGTAATCAGCGCTTGCTTTCATGGCGCCTCGGTCGGTACACCACACGTTTCAAATGTCACGGCATTGCTGCTTCCAGAGATGTAGTTCCGCAACTAAGCTAGGCGGACTGGGGTTAAACAGTGAGAACATGATGCAGCCTGCTCCACACCAACACCAACACCAACAAACAGGTTTTCTCTATTTTGCCTCAGTTTATTCTTAAATTCTGGAGAGACTGAAGTGCTCCTCCCAATTTTCGGGGGGGGGAGGGGGCTCAAGCCCGCTCCAACTGAACAGGAAACTACACCGCTAGCTGTTCCTTAACCTAGCAGAGCATCAAAGCATTCTCAGTGCCGACCAAGTGATCGTAACGCACGTGACGAGACGGCTCCTCAGCCGTTCGGACGGTGCCAGCGTGCGTGGTCGGTGGCCAGGCTGCAGCTGCGGCCGCGGCTCGGAGCGCTCCGGATGCGGCGAGCCTTCCGGCGGTGGCGCCGTCTCCGGGCCGTCCGCCCAGCTGGGAGGGTACGCCGGCCGCCAGAGAGCCGCCGCCGCGGTCACCGGAGCCCTCTACCGGCACGAACGTGGAGCAGCTGCTGCCACCAGCTTCTGCGGGACCCGGCCAGCCCCGGCCCAGCGCCCGCCAGCAGTACCCGTGAGTCCCGGTAGTCAACGGCGGAGCGCGCTTGAGGACATGCCTTTTTCGGACGAACCTTTCTCACTGGTTCATGCCCTGTTGACATTAGCAATGCATCACGAAATAACTCTCATCTGGCTTGAAGTGTGTGAGGTATGATGTATGCTAAGTACTGACAATGAAATTCCAAGTAAGCAAATTCAACCAAATATACGGAAACGTGACAGACGAGAACATCGCCCATGCCGAGGAGGGGGTGAAGGACCTTGTCTCTCACCTCTCCTCAACATTGGCGATGCTACTTCTGGTACTACCGAACACCTTTCCACCTTGCATGGCTCTCGGCTGCAGCGATAATCTTACCATTCCAGTTGTGTGGCCTTCCAGTTCCCACGCCAGCAGTTTGGCCCCTCTCAGCACCACTTGGGACCCCCCCCCCCCTCCCCTCCGCCAAGATTTGCCTGCTTCTGGAGCATCGAATTCCAGTGACATCCTGGGTGACAGATGGCCTGTTTGTGTGTTACAGCCGGAGAGCTATTCTTCAGGAGGCCACCGCAGCTCCAGCTGTCGGCGGCAGAGGTGACTGCCGTGCGCCAGCTGGCGAGTGGCTATCGTGAGTCGGCCAGCTTCCTGCGTCGCTCGGCGGATGAGCTGGAACTACTGGTGCAGCGGAATGGAACATAGATGGCGGTGCGCGTAGCAAGCCCCTGGCGGCGGAGCGAGATCATACGCCGCGCGATGGCCTTCCATTGCCGTATGCCGAGCGCCAGTGTTGCTACAACTGAAGGGCTGAACATGGAAAATGCTTCGAGCTTATATTCATGCTTCAAGTGAAAGGTCGCGTGCGCCGAATGGCATCGCCATTTACTGGACACCCTCACATTGCACTTACCTGTGGTGGAGTCGGACAATTGGACTAAAAACGAACAAAATGTGATGATTATGTGGGTGCGTGTAGATACTGTTATTCATAGTTGCACTCGCTTGCCATCTGTGAACATATATTGTACGCGTTGTATCACCGTATTGAGTGTTGATTTATTAAAAGGTGGCACGGCTCGAGGGGAGTATCTGTTTTTGAGATCAGGGCCGCTACCGTCACTACGGAAAGTGAAACTGCCAGTGCTTGACCCGCTACATGTATAACGCTGACACAATAAATGACATGGACAGTCATTCCTTCCTTTGGTGCATAGCCAGGAACGATGGCGTAGGGCAATGCAATTAACCTAGGAGCAAATATTGTTGACAAATGTTTATAAACTTTATAAGTGTTAGAAGCTTTTTGGTTGGGGCTTTTGTGACATTTACGGGATTTTTGTCAATACTAAGGAAAACCGAATGCGCAGTTGCCTGCCAGCAAGGGGAACAAGCAGGCAAATACAGTGAATGAACACTTATAAGGGAGTGTTCCACATTTGTATCAACTCTTAACTGGAATAGCCGTTTTGAAGATCGTTCGGTGCAGCTCACAGCCAAGCCCTTCTTAAAGCCTTAGTCCCCTTAGTTTCTGGGGTACAGTCCCGCGAAGATGTGTAGATTTGGCGCAGAGTATTCAAGGTCACCCAGGCATCCATGACGCCATATCAACGCCGTTCCAATCTTGCCATTTCATTGGCTAAGCGACGTTCAATATCCAGAAAATGCAATTGCCGAGTCGTTTATATCTGGCGCTCTGGAGCACGACTTCTGAACATGGCGGCCGTCAATTTGCTTTCAACATACCTCATGGTATTATATTACGTGTTAAGCTACATGATACCAGGGGTTATACACTCTTCCTTGCTATGACGGCAATACAACTTGCGACCGGATAGCTAACCGTGGCGCGTACTCAATATCTTCAAATGTTGAACATTTGCTGCAATAGATGCAGCTGAACGTTACGCGGCAGTAATATGGGTGCAATGTCACATCAGTTTTCAAGTGATTGTAGAAAAGTCATAAGGAGATTAGAAAACTTTTCCAAGCGGCAAGCAAATACGCAATATGCTGTCATCTTCACCGAGACACGCATCGACCAAAAATTTTTCTGCAGACATTCTATAGTTTGAAAACTCCCTGGCTGGTCCGACACTTTGCAAATGCTCCAGGAGGCAGTTTGCAAACTCCCTAGAAATTCGCAATATCCTTACGTACTGTAAGGTTACCTTGCCTGAGGTCCTTACGTTACTGTAAGGTTAAGGTTAGATAAGGCTACCTATGACGTATTCGAGGAGGGGGTATGGGGCTGACAATCCATGACGTATTTAAGGATGGGGCACGGGGCTGTGTCTTCCTCGTAGAATGCTCTGATAAAGCATCCTGTAATCCCTCTGATGGAAAATTTTACGTGCATTAACACGCGCCCAGGTGGCCGGCTAGGTACCCTTCACTTGGGTGCCAGGGGTCAATTTGACCCCCCCCCCCTAAGATCTCGGGAACTAAGAAAGCTAGATACACCAAATCTACACGGTATGTTGACCTGTACGTGAAACCACTTAGGTCAAAGTTTCAGATTCTTAGGTCATGAACTTCGGGTCAAAACAGGTCAAATAAGGTCAAGTTCGAGGTTGGTCTCCAAAGTGTCCCCAGAATCTAGACAACCGTTTCTAAGCAAAAGGTCACGTTCTCATTCAAAGTCAGTGACCTTTTTTGACCTTTTGAAGGTCAAGATGACCAAAATCATACAAGATTGCTTTGAGTTTTGCATTTGACTAAGCGACAAAGATTACGGTAGTCAGTATATTCATAAAACAACATGCTGACCTGGTTAATTTGAGATCAATGACCCATTCTGACCTCTAAGAAGTCCATGGAAGATCTACAATGCTTTTCCTGCTATCAATAAACTCGAAATGAGC